ATATTTGGTGTGTGTGCATGCGCCATGGTGCACAAGCTGAGGTCAGAGGGACAACCTGTGGAAGTCGCTTCTCTTTTTTCACTCTTTGTGGATTCCAGGGATCAAGCTCAAGTTCTCAGGCTTGGCAGACCCCAGAAGATGTTTTCTTTAAAAGTTCTGGGAATGTAATGTACCTCAGTGGTAGAACACTTGTTTGGCATGTGTGAGGCCCTGATTTTGGACTCCAGTACTGAAAGAAAAGCGTATTCTGGGCCTGATGCCCAGTGACTCTTTAGTGTATTTAGGATGAGTGCATTTTAAGAAGACATCTGGCACTGTAACTTTCACAGTTCCAAACTTTCAGGTTGGAAACTCCTGCACTGAGAGCTCTTTGGGGAGGAGCTCAAAGGCAGAATCAGGCATGGAACTCTGGCCATGATCTGGGAGACTGGAGCAACCTTCTGAGCCATGGTATACACAGGCAACAGGGCAAGCGCCATGACCCCTTCCTTGGAAAAATACAAACTACATCTTGCTCCTGTGGCTCCCAGACATCCTTACGCCCAAACCAAGAACTGCTCTTACAGGCATAGCCTAGGGTTGATCTGGCAGCACCCTAGGCACTTCTGCCCCCAGATTCCTGCAGTGCCATCGAGGCACGGCAAGAAGAGATCAGGTTGGGTTGTGTATATGCACCAGGCCTGAACCCCTGCCTTTTCCCTGTGTAGGCCCTGGGTGTGGCTCTTGCCTTTGCTGTCATCCTTGGCTTCCATACAGTGAAGATAGCAGGCGGCTGCTTGCGTTGGAAGCTGAGGTGGAGCTGAGGAGGGGGTTGGGTTGGGTAATGAAGTAGAGCCTTGACCTCATTTAGCCCCCACTCTCCATGCACTGCAGGGGAGAGAGAAAGGACAAGTTTCAGGCCTGGGGGTGGCGGGTGGGGGTGAGCTAGCACCCAAAGCGTAGGACTGGGACATACACTTAGCTAGAGTCCTGACATTGATACTGAACTGAGTTTTATGGACCAGACCCACATAGAAGTGGGGGCGGAGAGAAAGCAGGCTTGTCCATATTTGTGGGAGAGCTGCCATCAGGCCAGGGAACCTGGAGGCTGTCAGTGAAAGGCTGAGTCACGGTCATGGGCACAGGAAAGCCAACTGGAGGAGAAGCTTCTCTGCTGCTGACTGTAACTGTCTGCCTTTGGGAGGGTGGGGGTCAGCCTGTGTTCCCTGTGCCATTCTCAGGTCCAGCTGCCAGCTGCTGGGTCAGCTTCTCAATGGCCTCCTTGTCCTTCTGCCTGCTGGGCTAGGGATGAGTCACTGGGGAGTACACGGGAGGCCACAACCTCAACTTCTCCCCAGGGAGAGCAACCCTGTGTTCATCATGCGTTCATGGGGGTAGGGGCGACAGGGCCCTGGCCTGCTGCCCAGCTAGCCACCTAGATGAAAGAAAGGTCCTGGGTTGGCTGAGTGCCCCACAGCCTCTAAAAGAGCCCTAGCTCAAGGTGAACTTTCAACACCAGGTAGAGGCAGGCTATCTGAGCAGAGTGCAACTTGGGGCCACCGTCTTCCCCATTCATTGGCTCAGCTCCTCATCGCTCACGCTCAGGTCACCCTGTCTGAAGGTCTGCAGATGTGCCTTTGGTCCTTGGGTATCCTCGTTCAGCCAGCGTGAGTCATCCTGGTTTTTGTTGTGGTGTTCTCTGTACTAAGATTCAGCCATGCACAGGGTCCCCCTCTGCTCTTAGGAGCCCTCTGACCACAGAGGACCATGAGTTTCCTTTCATGTTTGCCTGTGACTTGGGAAACTGGAGGAGTGTGCGTCCAGCCTGAAAAGCCTGTGGTCCGCAGCCTGTGCCAGCTTTGCCACACCGGGGCTGACTGACTGAACAGGCATCCACTTGGGGAGGCGTCAGGTTTTTCACAAGAAATAAGGATACTGAAGTCACCCTGAGTTCCCTTTAAGCATACATCTACTTCTGTTAGATTTGGAGAGTTTTCTAGTTGATTTTTTTAATTGAATTTTCCTTGGTTAAAAGGGCTAAGAAAGTTGGGCTTTATTGTAGGCTTTAAGTCAGTTTTCGGAAGGTCAAGGGATTTGGGAAGGTATGTAGGGAAATGAAAAAACTTACAGTTACACCCTGCCTGGAGGCTCTCGCTCATTTGGAAGTCAGAACTCCCCACAGGCATCTTAAAGTGACCAAGTGACAGATTGTCCATTCTAGGCCTCAGAACCAGGCATCCCTGCTGGAGGCTGGAACTGTTCTGAGTTCAGGGCTAGCCTGCCCTCAAGAGGTAGAGATGCAAAAACAATGAACAGAGCCCAACCCATGTCCCAGTTGGGCTGATAGGGCTTCCATAGCCACTGGGATGGAAGGAGGTGAGCGGGGATATCCTAGGAAGAAGCTTGGGCCTGGTATTCCTCAGCTCTCCACAATAACACCAACTTCTAGGCATGACTTGGCAGAAGGCTGGGGGTCTTTGAGGGCTGGCTTCATTTGGTCTACATGTCTGCCCCAAAAGCAAGTAAATATGAGTTGAATTTAATGGTGGTGCAGCAGGGAAGACTGCATTTGTGAGTGACAGCATCCAGAGCGACCTGCCAGCCCAGAACAATTATTAAAGGCCTGTCTGCATATGGTACCTTCTCAGGCTTTGTTACAAAGTCACACCCTGCCCTTTAATAAGTCCCTGTCTTTGGACCAGAGAGATGGCTTAGTGTAGTTAAGGGCAGTTGCTGCTCTTCCAGAGGAACCAGGTTTGAATGCCAGCATCCACATGGTAACTTCACAGCTGTCTGTAAATCCAGTTCCAGGGAATCAGATACCCTTTTCTGGCCTCTGAGGGCACCAGGCACACACGTGGTACACAGATATAAATGCAGGTGAAACACACGCACACACACACACACACACACACACACATATATATATATTTTAAGTCCTGTCTTGGCTGAGGTATAGCTCAGTGGTGGAACACACTTCTGATATGCTGGACGTCCTGGTCTCAATCCCCAGCATCACACAAAAACAAAAACATGCCTGTCTTTTAAAAGGATTTCAATACTAGTGGGGCATGGTGGCACATGCCTTTAATACCAGCACTCCAGAGGCAGAGGTAGGCAGATCTCTGAGTTTGACAACAGCCTGGTAGACAGAGTGAGTTCCAGGACAGCCAGGGCTATGCAGAGAAACTGGTCTTAGCAGCTCAGGCTGCCACTGTTTTCTCTCATGGTGATTCTAATGTCTGTGCTGTGGGCACAGGTTGACAGCAGTCTATGATTGCACTCTTGGGAAGTGCAGGGTGGTCCACATGGAACCCAGAGAGAGGTGGTGTTTCACGATGTGTGCCCAGACATTGGTTAGTATTAAGGTTCCCAGTATAAATGCTACTCAAAAAAAAAAAAGTTACCTAGATGTTTTTAGCAAATGAGTTTGGACATTTGAGGAGGAAGCTATTTTTCAGAACCTTCTAGAGAACCACAAACAGTTGCATCATTGGAAAGAAGCCAAGTGTTGAACCCCATTTTTAGGCTGAATAGTAACTTTGTAACATTTATGCACACATATTCATATAAAGTCATGCATTTCGTGACAGTATTTTGATCACAATGAGACTGCATGTACCACTGGCTCCATAAGACTTTGTCACCCCTGATGATGTCATAATTTACTCTGTGATACTCAAACAATGCTAAAATTTCCTGGAGGCACATTTCTCGAAATGTATCCCCATCATTAAATGTTTTGTTCATAGCAGGGATATATATATATATATATATATATATATATATATATATATGTTCCTGCTATGAACAAAACCAAACCTTGATTTCTCCATTGGAAAAAGAGCCACTCTAGTGCCCTCTGTGAAGGCAAGGTGTCCCTGGGGTCTGTGAGGTGATGGCAATAGAGGATAAGATTTACTGCCCTGTCCTGAGGAAACAAAGTTTTCCAAACAATAGGAAGAGTTTTAGTCATTGTAGAGGCAAGAAAAGTCCAGTTCCGATTCCGTGTCATAGCTGTCCGCAGGGGAAAGGTGGGCTCTTCTTTAAAGCTTTGATGATTTCCTACATGCGTATAATGAATATCCATACCATTGCCCTCTTTTTAAAAAAATTATTTTTAGGCCAGTGATGATGGTGGTGCACGCCTTTAATCCCAGCACTCAGGAGGCTGAGGCAGGTGGATCTCTGTGAGTTTAAGGACAGCCTGACCTACAGAGCAAGATCCAAGACAGACAGGGCTACACAAAGAAACCCTGTCTCAAAAAAAGTAATATAACAACAATAATAATAATTTTAAAATTAAAATTATTTATTTTGTGTATTGAATGTTTAACCTTTATATATATGTGTACAGCACATGTATGCAGTGCCCATGGAGGCCAGAAGAGGGCACTGGATCCCGGGAACTGTAGTTATAAGTGGTTATGAGCTGCCATTGGGTACTAGGAACCAAACCCTTGTCCTCTGCAAGAGTAGCAAGAGCTCTAACTGCTGAGCCATCTGTTCAGCTCACCCATTATCTTCTTATCTCTCTCGTTTCCACTCCCCCTCCCACTTGCTTCTCTCTGTCTCTCTCTCTCTCTCTCTCTCTCTCTCTCTCTCTCTCTCTGTGTGTGTGTGTGTGTGTGTGTGTGTGTGTGTGTGTATGTATGTGCTGAGATTAACTAGTATCATTTGCATGAGCGTGGGTGTGGGCTCATTTATTGGAGCATGGACAATTTACCAGTGGCTACATCACTGAGGAAAATGACTCCCATCTCTCTGAAGGCCCAGTAAAGAAATCCATTTACACTGCAGTGCCAGACCAGGAGCCCCACAATGAAGTGCTTGTGAATGTGAGGTTGGCTTCATTACTACTCGGATGTTTAGAGAATGATACACTTGACCTAAAGAATCAAGAACCCTCCAGTGTACACCCCTACACATGCATACACACTTATTTCCCCTCCAGCCTGTGCCTAACGTCTTCATGGGGTCTGGGATTTGGAATGACCTGGTCTGTGTTTGACCTCCTCAAGGTGAGCACGAGCCTAGGAGATGGCAGTGATGGAAGTGGCCTGCCCAGGCACTCCTGGCTCAGCAGTTGGACAACAGAAGGAGCTCGCCAAAGCCAAGGAGAAGACACAGTCACTAGGGAAGAAGCAGAGCTGCATCTACAAGCTTGAGGCTGTGGAGAAGAGCCCCGTGTTCTGTGGAAAGTGGGAGATCCTGAACGATGTGATCACCAAAGGCACAGCAAAGGATGGTTCTGAGGGTGGGCCACCCGCCATCTCCATCATCGCCCAGGCTGAATGTAAGTTTCTGGGGCTGCACTGAGCACAGTGGCGAGGGAATGGGCTTGCAGATGGGTGGCTGGGCATGGGAGGTCAGCCTTGAAGTCCCCATGGGAGACTCATAGTGATCACACTATGAGATTCTCATCAGACACGTTTGGAGGTCTAGCCCAGAACACATAGTGGGAGCTGTAAGAGGGCTTGGGTGGACCGTGGGGGAGGCTGTGCCATTGTGACCTGAAGAGGGGCCAGCCGAGAGGCGGGAATGTTTAAGGACTCTGCAGGAACATCAAGCTGGCCTTAACCTTTTGCTGTGGCATTGAACAAGTAGCATCTGGGGTGGGGGGCAGACTGGAGAGGCCAAGTCTTCTAGGAAACACCTCTGGTCTACATACCTTACTGCCTTCAACCACAAATGGCTCCACCCCCACCCACACCCCCTGCCCCCAAAATAAGCACCGTGCTCTTGAGCCTGCTGGGCCAGTCTCTGGGCAGCCAGCCTCAGCAGGTGAGGCCAAGTCTGGCCCTTTCCACTTACACTCCTGTTGCCTTGAGATGATAGTGATGGCTACCTGGGAAATGAGAACTCCTAGGAGGTCTGGGAAGCACCAGAGTCCTCTGCTATCCTCAGCACCACCAGGGCTGGAACCTGGAGTGCCTGATAGCTCGTGGCATGGTAGCATTTCTCTCCATGTTCCCATCCTCTGCTTCATCTCCCCAAGCCTTCCACTTTTTGGCTTTTGAGAAGAAATGAGAAAACAAAAATGAAATGAGTGCACATATAAACACATGCATGTAAACATAAATGCATACCAGCTTGTATGTACCCTGTGGTGTGTGGAATGCTCTAGAAAGTGTCATCACTGTGAGGTGGGCAAGCTCCCTATAATCCCCATTTTATAGACAATCCCTCTTGACTGGTAAGCTGGGGATAGGGTAACCCCCAGTGAGAGATAAGTTGGTGGCCAGGAGGTGAGCCACCAGCCAGGAGTATGACAGGGAAAGGAAGAGTGGCCATTAGGGCCTGTCTGTAAAAGACTAGCTCCCTGCTAATCTGACTCCTTTTCCTTGAATTAAAGGTGAGAATAGCCAAGAGTTCAGCCCCACCTTTTCAGAGCGCATTTTCATCGCAGGGTCACAGCAGTACAGGTAAGAAAGCAAGCTGCTAGAGCTGGGAAGGAGGGATCTGACCCCAGGCCTACCTGCCCAGGCCACCCTCACCAAGCCTCTGGCTCCCTGCTTCCGCACCTGGGTTCTGCTCCTGGCAGCCGCCCAGCTTTCCTGGCCCAGCTACTCTCAGCCAAGTCAACTTGCAGAAGCTGCCCCTGGCTCCTGTCAACTTGACGTTTTATTTTTATTCTCCTCCGAGTCCTTGATACACCCCTGCTTTCCCATCATCAGGGCAGGTGCCGGGAACAGCACCTTCCAGTGGTGAAGAGCCATGAGCACAGTCCAGAGAGGCCACTGTCACCGTCCTATAGGGGAGGCACCCCTGGGGTCTTATTCTAGCCCTGGCCCTGAGTGGGAGCAAGGCTAGGCTCATCTGTCTCCAGGCTCCCCGTTCTCCAAAGATGAGATTCGGTCAGAGTCTGTCCCAGACACAGGCCTCCTTCCCACCAGGGCTTTGATGATTGAATGCATTGGAAACTGCTAGTGATAGCGAGAAGTCAGGGTGGGAGGCTACTGTCTTCCTTAGGCAATTCCTTTAGGCAATTCCTTATGTTGCCTCAGGCACCTTTTGGCCCAGAGAATGGGGTTTCTGATGACCTCTCTTCTTTTGGCTGCCGGAGAGAAGCTTGCAGGTCCCCATCACTCCAGGAGCATTGTGGGGTCAAAAGCGATGCAGTAGGGCTGTGGCTGAGGCTGTGGCCAGTGCCCTTCCAAACCCTTTTCTTTAGTGGAACCAGTTCCTTTGATACCTGACAAGGGAGGGAGCCTGGCAGATCCTTGGTGGCTTCTCACATTCCCATGGCAACTAGGTATCTTCAAGGGCTAAGGGTAGAGATGACCTGTCAGAGCTAAGATGCCTGCCCCAAGAATGGCCCACTCTGGGTCAGTTCACCCAAGGAGCAGCCAGAGACTGGCACCTGGTAAAGGGCTGAGGGTCTGCTGCAGCCCACAGTAGCAAGCTTACTCCCGAAGGGCCAGGTGCTAAGGCTTAGGAACTGTTCTCATTTAAATCCCCTCTCCACCCCTTGTGGCGGGAAATACTGCACATATTTCCTGAGTGAGAAACCTTGGTATTCCTTGGGGCTTAGGAACTTGCCACACTATGTAAGCACAGAGGTGCCACGTGACGGCGTTTTGGTCAACAGTGGGCCACGTACACTAAAGTGGTCCCATCGGCCCATAGCACCTAGTGATAAACAGCTGGCCAAGTTTGCGCTAGGATCCGTGGTGCTCACACACGCTCCCTCACCTAACACTGCGCTTCTCACATGCGTCCCCTGTCGTTAAGCATGCATGACTGGAATGACAGAGCTGGGGTTTACTCTCAGAGTCTCTCTGACTCCACAGACAGTTCTCTGAACCATTCCCTCTTCTCGCTTTCGTGCACTCAAAATGCGGATCTGCCCCTTTTTTGACAGCCAGTCTGAGAGTCTTGATCAGATCCCCAACAATGTGGCTCACGCAACTGAAGGCAAAATGGCCCGTGTGTGCCGGAAGGGGAAGCGTCACAGCAAAGCCCGGAAAAAACGAAAGAAGAGGAGGTCGAAGTCACAGGCCCAGGCAGGAGTGGCCTTAGCCAAGCCCCTGCCCCGAACCCCTGAGCAAGAGAGCTGCACCGTCCCTGTGCAGGTGAGACCCTCCCCATTGTCCTGGTCCCTGTTCATGGATATTTGGACTGGGACGTGTGACACCTGTATTTTTTTTCTGCAGGAAGATGAGTCTCCACTAGGCACCCTCTATGCCAGAAATGTCTCCCAGTTCACCAAGCCTCTGAAGGAACCAGACCTTGGCCACCTGTGCTGTAAGAAACAAGGCGAAGGCCTGCGACCCGTGCTGCCACGACCAGAGCTCCACAAACTGATCAGCCCATTGCAGTGTCTAAACCACGTGTGGAAACTCCACCACCCCCAGGCCGTAGGCCCCCCACCGCACTCCACTCACCCTTTCCCCTACAGCAGACTGCCGCACCCTTTCCCATTTCACCCTCTGGAGCCCTGGAGACCCTACCCGCTGGAATCCATCTTCCTGGACAAACTAGCCGGTGTAAGCGGCCAGCAGCCCCTACGTGGCCCACACCTAAGCAAACTGGCCTATGGAAACAGTCAGAAGCCCCTGCCTGGCCCACACCTGGAGTCCAGCTACCCATCTCGAGGTGCCCAAGAAAAGGCTCCTGTGGAGGAGTACCTGGTGCACGCACTACAAGGCAGTGTGAGCTCAGGCCAGGCCAACAGCCTGACCAGCCTGGCTAAGACATGGACATCAGGGAGCTCCAAGCCTCAGAGGCTCAGCCCTGAAACGGAGGACAACGAAGGCGTCCTGCTTACTGAGGTAACTAACCCCTAAAGTCCTGGACACAGACCTCCAATAGCCACCTTCCAGATGAGGGACCACTGACAGGGGTCCGAGTTGGGCTTGCTGTGGAAGCAAAGTATCAGTTTAAGCCAGCAGGCCCTGAGGGAGGGTTCCCCTCACTGAGTCACTGATGCCTATGGTAATAAGTGGATTTGCTCATTGGGGATTGAATCAAGATTCTATTACCATGACAAAATGCCTAAAACAATCAACTTGAAAGGCTTGCTTGGGCTGATAGTTTCAGAGGTTTTGGCCCAGTACTTTATGGCTGAGCACTTGGTGGAGGAGGCTTACTGACTGCATCACTTCCCGGAAGCAGAGAGAGATGAAGGGTGTGGATCCTGACATCTGAAGGGCATACCCTCAACGGCCTAACTCCTCCCATCAGGCCACACCTCTTAGAGCCCCCCCCCCCCCACCCCCCCCCTCTCAGCCCCCCCCCCCCCAGCCCCCCCCCCTTCGACCCCCCCCCCCCCCATAGCCCTCCACTCCCAGCCTCTCTTCCACAGCCTTTCTAGCTGTGTCTTCTTCAGTCTTCCCAGCAGCATCACTGTTGCTGGATTGTGTGTGTTGAATGAAACACCCTGGCACACAGTGGGGTGCTGCCCACCCGCACCCCCTTTTCCTTTAGTTCTCTGCTAGAGGAACTTTGGAACTTGAAGCATTTTGTTCAACTTGCTGGATTAATTCTATTCACTTTTAACATTGTCTTTGGCCCCCGTTTCTCCGCTACCTTCCAGTTACTGAGTTATATTGTTCCATTGTCAGGGTTGTGGGCAATTCTGCTTTTCACAGCAGGGATCATCTGCCCCCCCCATCCCCCAGGTAGCCCATGAAGGTCACCTTTGCCTTCTTATTCCTGTCCACCCCTTTGGCCTGTCTTCCTCAGAACCCCACCTTAGGGCTGGCAGTGTCTTTGGATGTGGGCATTCGTCCTCCATAGCTCTAGTAAGAGCTGCTAGCCGGAGTCTTCCTCACTGTATCCCTTCTCCCTCTGCTATCCTGGCCATGGAAACCAACCCCCTATTTTTCAACCCTAGAAACTCAAACCAGTGGATTACGAGTACCGAGAAGAGGTCCACTGGGTAACGCACCAGCCCCGTCTGGGCAGGGGCTCCTTTGGTGAGGTCCACAGAATGAAGGACAAGCAGACAGGCTTCCAGTGTGCCGTCAAAAAGGTATGTCAAGGTGATGTGCTGATGGGCTTACACCCGAATTTCCAGCATTTGGGAGGCTGAGACAAGAGAGGGTAGTCATGGATTCTAGGCCAGTCTGGATAATAATGTGAGATCCTGTCTACAAAATTAAAAACAAAACAAAAACAAACAAACAAACAAAAAACATACATAGCAGGTAGGACTCCAGCGAGCTGAAAGGGAAGCCACATGGGGGCTGCTGCACTCAGTCTCAGCAATCGGTCAACGGCAGTCATGGGCTGTTCATCCAGCGCTCTGCCTTGATGGTTGGCACCCTCGCTGCCCTTGGGTCAGCTGGAGTTGGAAGGGAGAGGTCTGTCACATGGCCTGGCCTGATTGCTGCCCTTGGTATGCATTTCTGTGAGAGGCAGTGCAGGAGCACGCAGCTTGGGTCTGGATACAGCCCTGGCCACTGAAGACGCCAGGGCCTGTAGGGGCAAGTCCAGACCTGGAAGATGCTCCAGTCCACAGGAAGTACATACTGAACAAAACCCTTCTGCCGCATAGTGGGGCCTGGCGCAGGTGATTAGAATGGTAACCAGCACCTGACGGGAAGCTAAACCTGCCTCCCAATGCCAAGCCCTGTGAGACCGGCAGGACAGCAGGGGAAACCGTGGCCCAGCCATACACTAAGGAGCTGGGCTGGTGACAAAATCAGGGTCCAAATCCAAACCTGTCATAGACTGTAGTTTTGAAGAGAGGAAGGAAAGGAGAGTCCTTGTCCTAAGGTCTTGATGAGCAGCAGAAAGCTCGAGTCACCTCCCCGGTGGCTTGCCCATGGCCACCCAGGTAGCCCTAGAGCTTGAGACGTCCCCCTGCTGTGTTGCATTGTCCCCACCTAGGTGGGAATGGGCAGCCGCAGACCTCAGCAGTGCCAGCCCTCCTCCCTCAAGCCTTCCTCTTGATTGGAAGCCTGCTTGTCCCTAACCAAAAAGACTAAGGACCTGAATTTATCTGGATCATTGTTGTGATTTTGTTTCGAGGGGTTTTGTTGTTTTGTGGGGAGCTGCCCATCAGGGTGAAATAACTGGATTCTATGAGACACCCTGATCCCCAAAAGGAAAGAGATCAAGAAATCAGACCCAACATATTCTGGGCATCATGCAGAATGGACCCTGCTGCTTCTATCATGGCTGCCCTTGTGTTTGGGAATCACTCCAGCTGGGATGTGAAGAAGTCTGGTTTCCTGGGTTCATACTTAGGCCAGGCTGTGGTAGATGTCTAATTTGAACCTCAGAGTAGTGGAATAAGAGTATTTGTAAGTTTTACCTCAGATTTCAAACTGACTGTGTGAAGTGAGCAAGTGACACCATCCTCACCCCTCAGCACACACTGAGGTCTTGCCAGGATGGGTCATCTTCCACTTGGATGCCAGGGCCACGTGCCTAACCTCTTTAGCTGCAGTTCCCCTCCCCAGTCTACCAGAGAAGGCTCAGCTGTCCCTTCTGAGAGGCAGTTGGAGGTGGGTGAGAGAGTGTGAAGTGTCCTGGAGATGGATGTTCAGCACTGGGAGCTTAGTCACCGGCTTCTCAGCTGTCCCTCTGCTGAGGTCCTCTCCGTCCCAGGCAACAAGGAAAACAACCTTAATACATTTCTCTTGTCCTGTGTCCAGGACAGTTGGGAAAGCTCTAGGCAGAAGGCCTGGACTTCCAGGGCTCTGGTTGTCCACATTTGGAGCTCCTGCCCCCTTCCTCCAGCTAGTGGTGGGCAAACAGCCCATCCTTTCTCTCAGTGGAAAGGCTTAGGGCTTGCAGTTTGTTCTGCTCAATTTTCAGCTCTAAAACCACGTGGGGGCTAAGTCCCCTGAACTGGGAAATATAGATTATCTTAGGGCATTTGCCTAGCAAATACGAGGCCCTGGGTTCAAATTCTGATGCTGAATACACAAAATGTTCCCTGAGTTCCCTGGCAAAGGCATGGTGAGTAGGGACAGGAGACAGGGTCTGGGGATCAAAGGTGAGGCCGCCCGTGTCCTATTAGTGCTCCTGGGAAGAATCCTGAACACAAGAAGCCACATAATACCTGCAACCCCTTGTTCTTCCTTCTAGAACATCCGTGGACTTGGGTCATATGCTTATTGGCCACAGATTTAGCCTGTAATGTGATTAATCATTTTTAGGATATGTTTTTGTATATGTGTGTGGGCAACATGTCATGGGGCAGATGTGGAGGTCAGAGAACAACTTGGGATAGTCAGTTCTCTCCTTCCACCTTGTAGATCGAGCTTGGGGCTGGCAGGAAGCAAACACCTGTACCTGTAGAGCCGTTTCACCAGCCCCTCTCATCTTTAGTTGAGAACAGATGCAGCCTCACCATAAATGAAGCCAAATAACATCGAACAAAGGTCTCCCTGTTTCCCACTCCTGTCCTCAAAAATGCCACCGCTCATCTATCTTTTTAGACACTTTATTTATAAGTTTGGCTGTTTATTTTATGAAAATGAGATCCAATCCTGGAGGTTATTCTACACTGACCACCACCCCCACTTCATGAACTATATCCTAGGATTTCTCCTTGGTTCACAGGCTTCTTAAGCCACCAATATCTAAGTTCTCCCTGCCACAGGATGGACTTAAAAGATACTTAAATTCTTGGAACTTGATCCAGACTGTGTGTGAGGGCATGGTCACAGTTTGCTGGCAAAGGGACCATGCCACTCAGCAGATTCTCAAGGGACAATTGCCATCTGCCCTCAACAAGGATGAAGAACTGTTTGTTTTAAGACATCTGGCCCAACCAGAGAATTCTGGGAGCCTCCCTTTGGCTCTGTCACTGAGCTGGAATAGTGTGGAATTGGCCAAGTGAAACCAGCTGTCATGGAGCACCTGCTCTGTGCCAGACACTGTGCAGAGCTGTGGAATTCAAAGGAACTAGTGTTTTGAAGGTTTACTTATGTGTGAGTGTACCACAGCATGTGTGCACAACTTGTGGGAGCCAGTTCTCTCATTTCACTTAAGGCAGAATGCAGTGTGTGTCTCTGTGTGTGTGTGTGTGTGGTATGT